CTCAGAACAGGCCTGCTAGCCCCTTCCTCCTTTGCTGGAGTCAGCTGCAACCTTGGCACAAATACCCCGAAGGCCCAATTAGGCTTTGAATGAGCAAATGAAATTAGAGATGTAAAGACATCGATCCCGTAGTTTAATAAATTTGCTCGATACCCAAAGTGGCTTATGGAGACTAGCAGTGGTCAAAGACTGGAGGAAAATTTAAAAACCTCTATTCTCCTTTCCAGTAGAAGTACAATAATAACACATCCTTAGTGAATGCGTAATAATTGTCATTGGTTGTATTAATGACAGAGGGTTGGACTGGGAAGCACAATGCAAAAAAAAAAAAAAGAGATGTAATTTTAATATTTTAAAGACAATGACTTACTCAGACTCTTAATGTTCTTTCTACTTCCCCCTCCTTTTATAATTCCATGCATTTATACAGTTGCTCACTTCAATGGCCTGTGTGAGATACTCCAACCATTACAAGGTATTGTTAAGTTAAATCGTAGAAAGTCACCTTCTGCTCTATCAATGACATTGTAATAATCTGTACAAACCATCTGTACAGAGATGGACAAAAAAAAACTCTGAAGACATAAGACCTGAGTGGAAATCTAGTCTTCACTCTTAATAGCCGATAGACAATGCATACACCATTTACTTAACTTTCCTTCTTCAGTTTCTTTATGGAATAAAAAAGCTCTTACAGATAGTTTACACAAAAATCCAGTGGCATAGAGCTGGGCACACAAAGGAAACATGTGTGCACACGTGTGTATGTGTGTATGTCAGTACATGTGCTTTATCTTCCTTTTATTTATCTTGGTTTATATATGTATTATATCAACTGAAGATGCTTTGGCACAGAATAAACTTTCAGCTAGCATGATTACTGTTAAAGAAAGGCCAACCCAGGCATGACGGCACACACTTCCAATCCCAGCTCTTGGGAGGCAGAGGCAGGAAGGTCAGTGAGTCTGGCCTGTAGTGAGTTCCAGGATAGTCTAGACTGCACAGAGAGACCCTCTCTCCAAAAGCAAACAAACACACAGAAAGGAAAGAAAGACTATGGCAATATTTTCTAGCCTTTTAAAAGATGTGATTGGCATGCTGAAGAAATAAGCCCAGTCTCTTACTGGCAACACCACAATTCACTGCTCCTGGGAAAATCTACGAAGCCAAAGGGTGTGTGTGTGGTGGAGGGGGGTGGAGGGGAGTTAGAGGGTTAGATATATAAGAAGCAATTTTCTCTGCCACAAATTTGATTAAATCTATTCTGATACTATACTGGCTTCCTTATTCTTTTTAAGCTTGAGATTGGTATTTTGTGGTTTCCTTGTTTTTAAAAGATAATTTATAACCATCACCCTCAATGGGAGGCAGAGACAAGATCCGTGGGATCAGCTAATAATGCTGAAATTTTTATAATGTAGAAATTAATTTTTTGAGTTCATTATCAGTATGTGTGTGCATGCACTTGTGGGCCAGAAGATAACTTTCTGGAGTCAGCCCCCTCCTCACCTATTCATGGGCTCTGGGGACTGAACCAGGTCATCAGGCATTTGCAGTGAGCTTATTCTGGAGCATCTCACAGGCCCCATGGAGAAATTAGTTCTAAGGGGCTTCTAGTTAACACACCTGCTCATCTTTGTTCCAGTGAGGCATCCTTGGTTGATGTCTTACAAAGACTTGGCTTTTGCTTTGTGCTCAATAAATTATTACCATTTTGCTTTTTGATAAATGTTAAAAATAGTCAATAGAAATTACCAACCAACAAAACAAACAAAACACCCCCATGATAAATGAAGACATCGTGGGAATAGGGAGAAACAGAGTGCTAGGGAAGTTCCCAGGAATCCACAAGGATGGCCCCACCTTAGACTACTGGCAATAGTTGAGAGGGTGCCTGAACTAGCCTACTCTGGTGATCAGATGGCTGAATACCCTAACTGTCATCATAGAGCCCTCACCCAGTGACTGATGGAAGCAGATGCAGAGATCCACAGCCAGGCACCAGGCCGAGCTCCAGGAGTCCAATCAATGGGAGAGAGGAAGAATTCTATGAGCAAGGGACATCGAGATCATGATGGGAAAACATACAGAGACGACCAGTCAAACTAGTGGAAATGCATGAACTGTGGACCAATAGCTGAGGAGCCCCCATGGTACTGGACTAGGCCCTCTGGATAGGCGAGACAGTTGTTTAGCTTGAACTGTTTAGGGGGCTCCCAGGCAATGGGATTTGGACCCATTCCTGGTGCATGAGCTGGCTTTTTGGAGCCTATTGCCTGTGGTGGGACACTTTGTGCAGCCTTGGTGCAGGGAGGGGGGCTTGGATCTGCCTCAACTGAACGTACCAGGTTCTACTAACTCCCCATGGGAGACCTTGCCTCGGAGGAGGTGGGAATGGGGGGTGGGTTGTGGGGGAAGGATGGGGGACGGGAAGAGGGAGGAGAGGGGGATCTGTGGTTGGTATGTAAAATGAACAGAAAAATCTCTTAATAAAAAAATCTTAAAGCCACTGGGAGAAAAAAAGGTCAGTTGTAGTTCCATTCTGCTCCAAAATGACTGGAGCTATGGTAGGTTGTAATTTTTAGTCTTACTTTCTGTTTCTTTCTCCACAAAATTTAAAGTTGGTACTAAAGTACAGTGAAAGTTTCATATCATATATTTTATTAACATAATTAACACTTCCCCATAAAATCCTACAATATGAATATAGCTTCACTAGTCATCCAAAATCTTGCCTTGAGATATCTAGGTTGTTTAAAACATTCCTTCATTACAATAAATATCATTGTTCATAAAATCTTTGGATTTATTTTTGAAATCATGTTTGGATTTTGATAATATAATAAGAAAAAATAAGTACACACATGTAAGAGAAGATATTCAAAGACTCCATACCTGCCCATAGCAACCTGCATAATGAATAAGGCTCGGGAAATCCTTGGAACAACTCAATTCTGCAATGGCTTCTGTCTCACTCACCATCCAGCGTACACACTCCAGTTGACCATTCTAGATTTTAAGAAGACAAAGAGAAAGAAATTCAAGATTACTAAGGTTTAGCAAATATCACAAAGGCTGTAATTTACAATGGGAAGACAGATGAATTTTGGCTTTTGTATTAGGCTTGTATTTACTTGAAATATAAACATAAGACCTGTTACATTCATAGCTCTACACCAGTGCAAGAATTTCCACTTGCAGATGTCTTTGTGATCCTAATTGGTTAGTTTAAAGTCATTCTCTTGAGCTTTGTGGTGGAGTATCCACCTAGTGTCTGCAAGTTTGATTCCAAGCACCATAAACAAATAAATGAATGGATGAAATTACTCTATTGCGGCATAATTTATATACTGTAAAATATAATAGTATAAAGTTTGATTATTTTTAAGTACTTATGAACATATATATTCAATGTATAATTTGATTGGAATATATATATGTATATATATATGTACTTGAAAATAATCAAACTTTATACTGTATCTCCAACTCCAATCAACTTAACAGTACTGTCAACAGTCCCAAGTTTCTGCCATCCCATGGCTTTCATGCTTCTTATTTTGCCTAAGCAAAATCAGCTCAGACAAGATGAGCATGTTGCTTTTTGTATCTGACTTTTTTCACTTACTACAATACTCAGAGTCAGCCAAGCTACCACAAACATTTAAAAATTTTTGAAATTAAAATATATCTTTTTGGAAATACATTTTTATTTCTCTAGAATTACAATGTCTGTCTTCTTTCCTGCCTTCCTTTCTTCTTTCTCTTACTTCCTTTCTTTTCCTTCCTGCCTTTCTTTCTTCCTTCCTTCCTTCCTTCCTTCCTTCCTTCCTTCCTTCCTTCCTTCCTTCCTTCCTTCCTTTCTTCCTTCCTTCCTTCCTTTCTTTCTTTCTTTTTGGACAAGGTCTCTCTATTTAGTCCTGGTTATCCTGGATTTCACTATGTAGACCAGAATCGCCTCAAACTCACAGAGATCCTCCACCTCCCAAATTCTGGGGTTAAGGGCACACATCGCCATGCCCAACTTTAGAAGATTATTATATTTCTAAGATTATGGTTGGTGTATATTTGATCTTATGGAAAGCTGTCAAACTGGTTTCCAAAGTGGTAAATTACTTCATATTACCACAAACATCAGGAGAACATGCCAGTTGCTCCATATCCAGGCTAACACATAATATTACCAGCAATCAGTACCTATCACCTAGAATTTATTTTATTTAGAGATTTATTTATTTTTATACGTATGAGTGTTTTGTTTGCATGCATGTCTGTGAACTACGTGCATGGCTGATGTTCCCGAAGGCCAGAAGAGGGCATCAGATCCTCTAGAACAGAAGTTACAGCTATAGACAGTTGTGAGATGCCGTGTGGGTGCTGGAAATCAAACCCTGGTTCTCTGGAAGAGCAGCCAGTGCTCTTAATCTCTGAGCTATCTCTCCAGGCCTCCTCCCTTATAGTTTATAAGATAGATCAATGATTTTTTTCAAATAAAACACTACCATGTTTTTATGAAAAATTAACAAATTTATATTTGAAATAACATTTTCATTAAGTAACCAGGTTAAACATTTTAATTAGCAGAACAATCAAAAGTTCAAAAGGTGACAACATTCTTACAAAAGAATCATTTGTTATTTATAAGTCATAGAATGATGCTACAAAGTCTGAAACAGCTACAAGCTGTACGTTTGTAGGGAACTGAAAATTCTCCCTAGTTAGGATGAAGATGGGCAGTGCAGTAGGAGGAGACAAAACAAACCACCCTGGGCTTTCTAAAGACCTTTGTTTCGTCAAATATGACTCTCATGTCTTTGGATTTAAGAGTCTTTCTCATTGATAGTCATGACTGAGTTTGCACTCTCAGCACTGTGAGAGTTTCAGAACACAAACAAGGCATGGACGTAGTTAAAATGCAGTCCATGCATCTTGGGAAGCTCTCTTTACCCTTCATAGAAAACTGAAGTGGCGAGTCCTGTGATTAACTTCCAGACAGACAGACCCTGAGATGGATGGAAGCCCCCGCTCCGCCACTGAGCCACAGCTGTTTGTCTCTGGGCTGTGCATCCATCTCCCATGTGCCCCAGAGACTGCGACAGGGCAGTGAAGACGGACTGAGGCGCCGCACAGCCTTGACCACTACAACACCCACTGCGTGCTCCTCCCTCGGATGTTCTTAGAGACTCTGATAAGACAAGTGAGGCCACTCATTGCCTTGCTAGTTTGCATACTGTGGGGCTGTGGGGTGTGAGCACAGACAGGGTCTCGTGGAGCCAGGGAGGGGCAGATGAGCAGCATCTAGCAGGATCGTTTTCTCTTTAGAATTTCAACCTGTCAAGAAGAAAATGTCTATTCCCAGAGGAAGACAGGAGAGGTAAGCTCTTCTTTCATTTCTATTTGAATAACAGGATTCCAAGTCAAGAATTCCCAGCTACACACACACACACACACACACACACACACACACACACACACACACACACTCACACACTCTGACTCTCACACACTCTCTTACACACACATACTGACTCACACATTCACTGACTCACACCCTCTCACAGACACAAACACACTGACTCTCACACATACTCTTACACATATGCACTCACAGACAGACACATGCACACTCTCTTGCACACATATGCATACACAGACATATACACGCTCACACTCACAAACACACATGCTATTCCATCCTTGGAGGTACAGGGATGTGCCGCGTGACTGTGCATAGTATGAAGGTCCCATAAAAATCATAATTACACTCAGTAACAATACAGCTGTGCTACTGGTTTCTCTGTTTACTATACGAGGCTGCTTGTCATTCTTTTAGCCTGTACTCCTGCTTATGACAAAGAGTTTACTGTAAAACAGGATGCTATATTATGCCAGTGGTACCCACATGCGTTTCATGTTTACCACCTCCTAACTGCATTAAGGCCGCAGTTCAGACACATACCATGTTTATGTAAATATTCTCTGTGGTGTTTGTACAAGGACAAAATCGTGGAAAAATGCATCTCAGAATGTGTCTTCATCACTAAGCCTTTCTTGGCATGACCAGGTAATGTGGTCCTTGCTGCCCTGGTGCTGGTCTCTTTGAGTGGCGGTCTGGTATCCCCACTGCTGGCTGGGTTAGGGTAATGCACATTATCAGCAGGAGCCCAGGACAAGAGAGATAGTTTGAGGTTCCTTCTGTTCTTGGCTCTTGGGCGGTGGTACTGCCACTGGCCAGCCCACGCCTTCCACTAGTCATACCAGGAGCAAGACAGTTTGTATAATTACTATTTACACAGAACGCAGAAATGGGAGGCCATGCCTCTAGTTCTAGTACATAGAGACCCCCCCTTGCCTCTTTCTCTCTTTCGGGTTAGTCTAACTAAATGAAAGGGGTTTTTCCCCCCTTACCTTTTCATAAAACCAAATTTAGCTGCATTGATTTGCTCTGCTGTTGTTATATTCTCCGTAGCACTTATCTCCTGCCATTTTCTTTCTTTTGTTTGCTTTGGATTTGGTTTGTCTTACTGCTCCAGCTCCCCAGGTGTCTATCTGGAT